CATTTCGACCATAATTGATCATAATGTAAGTTAATAAATAAATCTCGATTTTTTTCAACAAGAAGCTTGCTTATTTTGTACTTTCTCTTATCTGTAATTTATTTGAATTAAAAAAATCAACTTTATTTGCTCGTGGAAATGAGAAAACGCTTCGTTTCTTTAATTATTTAAAGATATTACTATATTTAACAGTTTATACTAAAGACATTATTTAAAATATTCATACCATATCATGTTAAATCTGTTATGGTTCTATTAAGGAGTATAAGCGCGACTTTTTTTTTTTTTTTTTTTCAAAAGGCAAACAGGTGTTTCATGAAGGTTGGTAATGGCTTTTCAAATAAGTTTTGTCAGTGTACTTCTCATTAATTAACGTTTTACTGCCAAAAAAAGTGAAAAGGCAAAAGTCGAAAATATCGTTTGAAGAAATTAAATTGTATCTTGTTATGACCAACCTTTTTGAATCTTTCTTTTAAAATCTAACATTTCATCTTTTGTGTGGTGTTTAATGACCGTTAGTCAATGATTATGCGTACATCGTGAGATGCGATCTGGTGTGACGTAGGTTTTAGAAAAACATTTTATGGTGCCAACGTTTCGAACTTTATTGAGATCACCTTCAGGCCTGGGATTTATAATCATTGTTTAAATTTTACAAATACATATAGGAAGGGAAAAAAGTGAAGTGATACAATGCTAGAGAATTTTAGATTAAAAAAATAAATATATACAATGCTAGATAAATTTTTATCTAAAAATCTAAAATCTAAAAAAATAATCTAAAATTTAGTAGCATTGTATAAATTCGTTTTTTTAATCTAAAATTTTCTAGCATTGTATAAATTCATAATTTTTTCCACATCCTACATGTACTTGTAAAATTCAAACAATGTTTATAAATCCCAGGCCCTGAAGATGATCTAAATAAAGATCGAAACGTTGGCAGAGAAAGAAAAGGTTTTTCTAAAACGTACGTCACACCAGACCTCATCTCACGATCTCCGAATAATCGTTTCTTCTTTTTTTCATTTTTAAATAATTTGAATCCCTTCATTTTTACCTATTTAAAAACGTGAGAAGTAAACCAAAGCCTGCCGTAAGCAGATCCAAGACCTTCTTAACTTTAACCATTGGTACAATTTGAAATAATTAATAGACACATATATACATAACACCAAAAAGCGGCCATATGATAAATTGAAATCATAACGAACAGAAATGATGAATGATGGAGTGAGTGTGGTGTTCAATCCTTTTTAAAAAGATAGTTCTTACTCCCAGTAAGTTGTTTTGTACCATCCGGATTTCAAGCTCTTTAGCTCATCATCAGTGCAATTCATGCATACTTTTAAATACTTGCATAAATACTTTTGCAATTCATGTCGAGAGACGTGGTTGTAGAAATCCTTCAACCTGACGATGAGCTAAAGAGCTCGAAATCCGGATCGTTGCAAAACAACTTACTGCGAGTGGGAACTATCATTTTAAACATAACGTTAAACATCATAACGAACATGTTAACTCAAACCATCCCAATACTCTTATCACATTGAACTGTCCACTGTGAAACATGTTTTCTCGTAAAGGCTGTGGCTATTTTTATTAATCGGTATTCATTTCCTATTATGACAATGTCACACTTCAATGGGGTGTCGACTGTCGGACACATGTGGTCGTCGACAGGTGACAGGGAAAGTGACATTTGAAAAGTTCATTATATATAACTATAACCACTGTACATGCATAAGATTCAAACATGATTGTATATATTTTTTGATAACTTTTCTTCTATACTTATACACAATTCATTAAATTATATCAAAATTATATACCATTCTCCGGTTGATTGATATTTGCTTTTTACTTGTACTGTATAAATTATTCGATGTGGTTGATATCACTTAATTCCTCTGTCAAGCTTTCGAGGAATATATTCTTCATCAAGACTACATTCTGAAAGTAATGGCTTCGACCATAATAAATTTATGAATTTAGTTTTGAAGAATTGACATCTATCACTCATTCTTTCTACATTACGACTGTACGAACAGTGGAATAAGTAATCATATTGAAAGATTTTATATTGGAATATTTTTTAAAACTATTTTTCCACTTTAACTTTCCTTGAACTTCTAGGTTTTAGGAGCTTCTTTTATTTAAAAAAGGTGGCAGGCACTGCATCACTGAAACCCCGTGTAACTCATCCGCGGACGTTTCACATTAACATGAATAGTTCTTAACCCAAACGTTCAGGAAAGACCCGGCTAAAGAATGTCGGTTTGTGGACGAAAATGGAGCGGGGTCTTTGATGTCGGATCCACTCCATATAATAGGAGGGAGCACCCCTTTTTTCGTTCCTCCCTTCTTTTTTTATGCTGCAGCAGCGTGTTATCGGTCGTTTTCTTTGTTCCACCTCCCCGGGCGCGGCCATCTTGCCTACCCGATTCCGATGGATTTCCACCTTGGACGATTGAATTACGTCTAGGCCAGGCAACACTAACACTGTTAGATCTCCAACTTCACGAACGGGATTATAAAAATTATTTCTAAAACCACAACATTAGCAAATGGTAATTAGCCTATATGACGTTGGAACTAGGTGCATACTACTCCTTGCCCTCAAAAATAAAAGCAGAAGCTTATAATGCGGCTTAGGAATCGATACGGCATAGGTGAGGCCTATCTTCACAAAATAAAGCTTAGACCAACCGCAAATTGTACGACATGCTATGCGATTGAAGCACATTATGCTTCAGGGAGTCGCAGAGAGTGAGGATGTATCAAGCATTCGCAAAATTTTCAAAAGAGCACCCATTTAACTTTCACTGAGAGGCAAAAAAATCTGGCCGCCCTCGTTTGTTAGTAAATACTTACAATCGTTATAATTTTTTGTTGTTGTTTTCTTGATATTTTTAAAGAAAAATATAACATATAGCTAAAAAAAAATTAAACTGACTAAAACAATTTGACCAAAAATGTTGCTAAGGTAACAATGAAGTAAACATTCAATTCAGTCGGAGTATTCCCTTGAACAGCGTTGAACATCGCTTGAATTCACGTGGCATCGATTTTGAATGTGGTGCTGTAGAATATTTTCATCCTCTTCCAACAGTGCCATTCTTAATTCCTGAAAATTCTCTCTCATCACTGAGCGACTTTTTACCCCCTTGGACAACTCGTCCCAAAGATATTCGATATGGTTTAATGTCGGGTTGCATGCTGGCCACTCCAAACATTGCATTGAAGCTCGATACGAACGATCCTAACTGGGGCCTTGCATTGCTATGCATAAAAACCAAAAAATCAAAAAGAAACCGTCGCCAATTAGAGGCGTATAAGGAACAACTTTTTCAGATAAACTTTACTGTATCGCGCAGCTGTTAGGGAGCTCTCGATTAAGATCAAGTTAGGCGACCTTCCCAAACTATAACACCAAGTAGTCCATAGATTCTCCAGACTGAAAATTTTGCGGCGATACATCGTTCTCCTGTTTTCCAAACCCTCTCTCGGGCGTCAGAAGACCTCAAACAAACTCTTGACTCATCCACAAACAAAATTTTAATTCAATCTTGCTCAGATCAATTGATGTGATTACTTGGGAAACTTAACCGAGCTGTACTGTATCTGGTCAGAAATTGTGGACGAGTGGCTGGCCTTCTCGCATCTTCTGTAATTCCTCGCCTTTACAGTGAGTAAACTGACATTTCAACTCGTTGAAGTCGTTACCCGATCTCAAAAGAGGTAGAATGTCGATTAAAACGATCATCTTTCTGAGATGTGACCAGATGGCGACCTCATCCATACCTTCTTGAATAACCTCCAGTATCTTGGAAGCGATGGAAGTAGTAAGCACCTACGCTTGACTTCTTCCATCTTCCAACAATGGTATGATTCTAGGCGAACCTGTATCACTTAAAACTATCACCTAAACAAATTTGAAACTTAAAATATACAACTTAAAAAATATCAAACCACCGGAACATTAGAAAGAAGCTTTAAAGAAAAAACCAACAAAAAAAAAATTCACTAGTTTTCGTGGTCCGCTTGACCAGTCAGCTTTCAATTAATTAAGGTTTTTAATTGAGATAAAAAATTCAGTGTCACGAGCGGGATTTGAACCCACGACCTTGGGTTAGATACGAAACACCGTCTGAACCCCACCATTGAAAAATGGCAAAAAGGAGGGCAAATTCAAAAGGTGGGGTTGAGATGGGATGTTGGTGTCCGAGTGGATCGAAGTCACGATAGCTCAACTGGTAGAGCAGCAGCGTATAGAGCCAAACGTCGTGGGTTCGAATCCCGCTCGCAACACTGACTTTTTTATCTCAACTAAAATCCTTAATTAATTGAAAGCTACAAAAAAGAGTTGATTATTCAAAGATTTATTTATTAAATCCAATTGTACACCCAAGTGGGATATTTTATTTCCAATCCTTTAAAACGGACAAAATATTTTTAAAAAATCAATGGATGATTGACTAAGAGATAACTAAAAATATTAAGGGTAGCCACTTTTTTCTTGTCTCTCAGCACGGATACATTACTGGCATCAGGATATGGTGATATTTTTGAAAGACTTATTAAATTTATAATATGTGATATGGCAGTGTGAATATTTATTTATATATTTCAATTATTTATAATTTGGCGAAGATATTAAAAATTTAATCTGATTTTAAAAAAGGTCAGCATGTAGCCGGATTCTTCGTCTTGTTAAAAAGGACGGGTGATAAATTGAGGAGATACTGATAATAAATTTAAAAAATAGGTATTTAACCATACATATATTTTGTATATGAATTTTTAATATATTTATATACGTAAAAAATTAACTGAAGCGATACAATTTTTTACCTTTCTTTTCTTTTCTTTTAAATATAATATATAAATTTTTTTGCTTAATATGTAATATATTTTATGGCATCGACGGCGTCAGTCATGATAAAAAAAAATCAACAATAAAATAAATTTTACCTTAACTTATTTACAAACATTGTCACTTTTTTTCTATTTACATTGACTAGCATTTTTTTCGTGTATCAAAACAAAAAGTTGATACAATTTTATATACACACAGTTCATCAGCGTTTAAACTCAGAAAAGCCAAGTCCAACAGTGATTATTTTGTACATCGTCATCATTTTAACGCTTTTACAATTATTTACATTTAGCTTTCATCCTACTTGAAATTTCACGGGAAGATTTCATTGTGATTATTTCGCTACAAGTGAAATATTTGCACATCTTTTCTCATAAAATTCTTTCTTTATTAAAAAATTGTTGAGAAGATTTTTTTTAAATTTACCCATGAGTAAAGTTTGTATTTCAAATATCTTCATATGAATCCTATTTGCAAAAAGTCAAATTGCATTCAGTGCTTTATAACTTATACATGCAATCAGAATTTAAATTGAGTTTTTATGTATTTTTCGTAAAATACAAAGTAGATAATACAATAGTGCATTCCGATTGCATATGCAAGCTTATATTTCCAAAAATATCTAAAATCTTTCTAGTTGAACTATTGCCAGAAAAAACCTAAAGCGACGGAATCAGAAAACAGAAACTAAATTACAAACTTTACAAATAAAATAAATACAATAAATACACAATACTACAGTTGGCCAACGTGGCTGCAGGTCGTTTCTTCCTTGGCCGCAAGAAGTCATGAGGTAAGGACAAGTGGAGGAGGTGCAGCACAAGTGTGAGATCGAGGTCCGGTCTAATGGGACAAACCGTTCTGCATTGAATTCTCGTCGTCTTCTTCGTCCGACATAGGTACTGTCGAATGGTTGTAAAGACCCTGGGCCATGAGTTGAAGCGCCAGGGGATTCCGGGACCCGGAGGCTTTTTTGATCTTGGCCCTCTTGTTCTGGAACCAGATCTTGATCTGGGCCTCGTTCAGGCCCAGCTCACCGGCCAGCGCCTGTCTTCTTCTCTCCGTCAGGTACCTGCGAAAAATTATAACTTTATAAAATATTCAAAAGATCGGCTGTAACATTATAATAATGTGTAATATAGTGTTAAGTGTGTTAACGTGAATAGTTATGATAACTGGTTTATAGTTTGTAAACTCTTTTAATGTTGCGCCGTGATTTACTACTGTTCGTTGTAACTGTAAAAAATGTAACTGTCCAGAAAATAATTAGAAAGGAAGAAACAGTTTGAGGAAGGAAAGATCAAAAGATAAAACTCCATTTCCACCAATGATCTTAACTAATATAAACTGTAATTTGGTCTACATATCCTCGCTATCATGGTCATCTCTTTGATTCTACTAATTTTACTTTTATTAGTTATTTAGGAAATACTAGGAACTATTTAGGAATTAGAGAAACACGGTTGGGTTTGTGTCGATGCCTCTCCCTGCTTATAACCCCGACAACCACTGGAACTAACAAACTGCAAGGTCTAAAGTTTACTAATAATTTTGTTATTTGCACCGTTTCAGTCGATCCAGGTCTTCTTGGCTAGCCATTTCGGTTTGAAAGTCGCGTTTTGACATTTTAAGGTCGGTTTGTATGTAAGTGCCTCTCCCTGGTTATAACCCTGACAATCACTGAAAATAACAAACTGCAAGGTCTAAAGTTGATTAATGTTTTGTTATTTTGGTCGTTTTAGATGATCAAGGTTTCCTAGGATCGCGGTAACGGTATGTTGTTTTTACATTACAAGGTGGGTTTGTGTCGGTGCCTCTCCCTGCTTATAACCCTGACAACCACTGAAACTAACAAACTGCAAGGTCTAAAGTTTACTAAAAATGTTGTTATTTTCGCCGTTTCAGTGGATCCAGGTCTTCTTGGCTTGGCATTCCGGTTTGTAAGTCGCATTTTGACATTTCAAGGTCGGTTTGTATGTAAGTGCCTCTCCCTAGTTATAACCCTGACAATCACTGAAAATAACAAACTGCAAGGTCTAAAGTTTTGTTATTTTGGTCGTTTTAGATGATCAAGGTTTCCTAGGATCGCGGTAACGTATGTCAGACATGTTTTTACATTACAAGGTGGGTTTGTGTCGGTGCCTCTCCCTGTTTATAACCTAGATAAATACTGAAAAGCACTAACTCCTTGATCTAATGTGTACTAATCGTTTTGCTAGTTTGATCGTTTCAGATGATCTTTCTGGTCTTGTGGTTTTGGTGTGTCAGACACGTTTCTACGTTTCAATGTGGGTTTGTGTCGGCGCCACTCCCTGCTTAAATTCCTGGAAACCACTGAAAAATACAATCTGCCTGGTCTAAAACGTGCTAATCGATTCAGATGATCCCAATCTTACTAGACTGACGGTTTGATCTGTTAGACACGTTTCAAAATTTCAACTTGGGGTCCTGTCGACGCTTCCTCTGGCTTATATCCTTTATATTAAATAATTAGCTGATTAATTTTAAGAAGGAAATTTTGTTATTAGTACTGGAAGTAGACGCATGATGAAAAGTGCGAATAAAGTGTTTTTTTAATAGGACCACAAGGAAGGAATAATCTATCATTTATTGTGAAATCCTCGTGGCCCACCCATCTTCGTTCTTTTGGCCGTGTTTCGGCTTTTTGCCATCTTCAGTGCAGGGTCTGTATACCCTTTTAATGTGGAATTAAAATATTGGGGCTGGGTAAGCTGTTAAATCCTCTACTAAAAGAGAAATGAGGTAAGCATAAAATCTCTAAAAAAAAACAAATAATCAGAAACAATCAAACTTGAATTTTTTTAATGTAAGGTTCTGGTTAAAATGAAAAAGCGAGTGTCACGAGCGGGATTTGAACCCACGACCTTCGGCTTAATACGCTCCGAGTGGATCGAAGTAACATTAGTTCAAGTGGTTAGATCAGAGGCGTATTGAGCTGAAGGTCGTGGGTTCAAATCCCGCTCGTGACACTCGCTTTTTCATTTTAACCAGAACCTTACATAAAAAGTTAATTAATAATTGAAAGAATTTGGACAATAGGCTCTTGAAATATGTTGAACCGGAAATCGGAGTTACCCAACAACATCAACTTTACTTTGAAATATCCTTGATAAGTCCAATATTGACACCGATTCTAAAAACATTTGTTGTTTTTCCTTGTTACAATACTGTTCTGGTTTAACGTAAATAAAATAAGATACATTTGTCAAGTGTTTCATATGTTACAGTTTGAATGCAAATCAAGTTTTAAAAGTCGGGTAAAATTGCCTGAATGATTCCTGTTTAATTAACATAGTCGACGTTTTGTGGGCAAAGGCTGTTTGTATTTGACAAAGATTTAATTAAACCAACACTGATTTCGTGACGATGTTACAAAATCACCCGATTAGAGACCCCCTCCGACCCTTTAAAAAAAAAGGTTTTCCTCGGCTACTTGTGAAAAGAAGCAAGCCTCGCGTGATAGCTAGAGGTCCAAGGGGAATAATTTATTCAAATCTATTCGGCGCGAGTTAAAATGATTATAATAACAGCCCCAGTCCCTTGGGTAAATGTATTTATTTACCGATTTTGACATACCCGATAGACTCGTGAGACGCGAAACGTCAATCTGTCATGCGTTATTGCCAGGGTTTTTTCCTTCCTCTGGCTTTCTGGTCGGGGCATCGGCGTGGATCCGGAATCTTTCTTCTATTTGCGGTTTGGCTTTGTTCCCCCGGTGGTCCCTAACTACCGGATATTGTGCTTGGTGGACCGAGAGCCTATTTCATTAAAACTCAGCCGTCTTGTTACAATCAACAATACTACACATTGTGCACGTAAAATTGCCAACAAATCTGCTCAAAAAACAAGGCAAAAATGAGCAGGATAACGTATATAGACTAGGTGCCAGGTTACCATTTCTAGATTCGAACGAATCCCTTAAATCACTTATTAGTTTTTGCATAGTTTAATATATTAAATACACATTTCAACTATTTTCCATACAATTAATATACTGACCTAAAATTTAACGTACGAAACTTTAAATAATCATTTACTTCTTTGTTTGTGTTTATCTTTTTTTCTATATAAATTAACAAATTGAATTGCTTAAGCCTTCCGGATGAATTTAAAACTCAATTGGGATATCGAAGAAGATGAGATTATTATATTCACCACGTGATCGATTTCTTAATTAGGTTGCGTGTATCTGTCGTTGGATGTAATAGGGTTTCGTTTAAAAAAAAGTCCGATTAATCCTCTGATAAGAACAGAAAAGTGGTAATATTTATTTATTGTTTATTAAGCTATTAAAGAGGTGTCTAACCTTTTTTTTACAAAAATTTGGCTCGTTCTAGAAAAGATTTTCCTTTTGTAATCTGCGAGGAGATACAGTTCCATCGCTTGAGTTAAGGAAATAAGTATATCACCGACTCAACCAGAAGAAGGCCTGACGTTTAAACTCGACTGACGGACCCAAACATGGAGGACAGTGGATTGCCACAATATAGCGACATATGTACTGTAGGATTGGAATTCCTGTAGGATTAGGCACCGGCAGAACGCGTCCGACAGACCAAAACATTGAGGATAGGCAGGCCGAAAACTACCGAACTACTTCGATTAGTTTTGTCGACTAAAAAGACGGTTTACGAAATTTTCACTATATAACATTTTTGAAGATGTGGAAACACTTTTCGCCATTGGTTTGAGGATTTAAACAGCGATGTCCTTGGAAAGGAAGTTTTATTAAATTAATCAACTGCAAGCTGTTGAATTCTACCAGTATTTGGCAGGGAGTGTGGAGCATCGGATGACACCGACAGGCATGATCAAGGTGAAAAAACATGAACACGCCCCAGCTTCTAGAAGGGTAGAAAACTTTATCATTTTAAAAGTTAAAGTTAACTGGATGACTGTGGATATGGTGAGATTATCAAAAATAGCCTTTTCAATTGTAGTAAGATCAAGCTGTTTTATCAAGTATTCGTTCCTTAAGAAAACAACAGAATTAAAAAAAAAAGTAAGGGTTCAGGGTCACCATCAACGGATATAGCTGAAGAACCAAGTGAAGCAACGCGTTCTCGAGCCAGTGATAGAGAGTTATAGTTTAGATAAAAATAACTATAGACTAATGAAAAGAACTCCCTCAGCAGCTAATACAACCTTTTAACCCTTTATAAACCCCTTGTTATTTGAGCTTTCGACAAATTTGATGAAATTTGGGTATACTGGATGACTTTGAAAATGGCTTGCTACCTGTGATATCGAAACTGTGTGAACAAAATCCATCCTGTATCATCAAAGGATCTTTCCGATAAGAAATTTAATATAGGATATGTGTAATTGGAATATAAGAAAGTAAACTGGTAACATAAACTCCCCCAGCTTCTAGAAAGGGAGAAACTTGCAATATTTTAATAACCCCATGTGATATATCATCAAAATCGTCAATTTTAACGAAGACTGGGTTTACTGGTGAAATACTAATAACCGGGGATACTGGTTAGATCATAAAAAATGGCCATTCCAGTTACTGTAAAAAGGTTGAGTAAACAAAATGCATTTCGTTACTGATGAAAACAATAGAGTTCTGTCTTTGGAAAGGATGGTTTAGATTTACCATCAATGGAACTAGATGAGGCTGTAGACGTATTCGTGTATTTGCCAGTAAGTCTGGCGGACCAAAAGATACCCTTAGGCACAGTTGAGGTGAAAAAGACTAATGACATGAACTCCCAACATCTAGAAGGGTAGATTTTTCAAGAAGAATGTGCTATGAGCTTTTAAAATTGTCAAGTTGTACGAAAACTGGGTTGGTTGGAGAAATCCTAGTAACTGTGGAAAATGGCTAGATAATAAAAAGTAGTTTTCCAGTGTAGGAAAGCTGTGTGAATGAAATCCATTATGTTTCATTAAGAGTTTTTTTTCTGATGACAAGTTAGCCAAGGCGATTTGGTGTTGGAAATGAAGAAAGGTTCAGGGTTATCTATTAATTCCTTTCCTGGGAGTCTGGAGTAATGGGAAACACCGTTAATCCATCGATGGTTACTAGGCTGGTTCTACATGAACCTGAGCAATCTGTTGATAAAATAGAATTGGAAGATTTTTTAAAAAAGACATCATCATCCTGAACAATAGACCGGCTTTTCGAGTTACTTCAACCTCAACCAAAGTTCAATCTTTTGGTACTACGAAGGTGATATTTTTCACTATTCCTGATGTATTTTATATGACTCCAGATGATTATATTCCAGATGGATGGAAATAATTCAGAAATCGTGCATTTCCTAGCTTTGGTTAACTGATAGAAGTTAAGTACACGTCCTTTAGTGTGAAGGAAAAGTTTGATATTCGCTGTAACAAAACTTCAGATGGCGGCACATCCAGAATTCCCTGTGTAAGAGTTTTTTGAACATCCAAACCCCCACCTTGTGCTGTAAGCCTAACGACATGCGATCACAACAGGCTAAACTTGGAATGGTAATTGTATTGTAAATTAAAGAAATAAAAATAGTCGCTTTTTTGTATGTGTATGTGTGCAAGCTGTATATAGGATATGGAAGTAGGACGAGATAGACTTGGCAAAATTTACCTGTTGATGCTGAATTCGGACTTAAGTCTTGCCAGCTGCTCGCCGGAGAATGCAGTCCTCGGCCTCTTATCTTCTTTTGCCTTGTCTTTTCTTTTAATCCTCCGCGACCTCGGGCCTAGAAAAGACGGGTATACTTAGACTTTTCGATGAACCAAACGATAAAAAACAAAGCAACCTGTTTTCTAATTAGTTTTAAGAGTTTAAACCTAAAAACTATAGTCATGTCAAGTTCTATAGCACATTGAATAATTCCAGAAGGATTGGCATTTCATACATTCTGATTGGTAATTTTTGCCCTTTCCTCCATTTGTTTACTTTAAAAAAGAATTACCATTGAACCGTTTGACGAAAATTGTTAATCAAAAGCTATCTCAGTGAAGGGTTGGGATCGAGGTGGGATCGTCGGATCCGTTAAAGGACAAAAGGATGCGTCCTGTCTCGAATCGAAGTCATTGTCGTCCCCCAGCTGCCGTCCCCTTTCCGGGCTAATCCTCCTTAGGCATTTCTAAATGACTCAACCGGAAAACTAACTCCTGGTATGATCCATTGACACTGTTTTTCCGACCGATTTAATCCAAGATGGACTTTTCTGATTATCGGCCCCTTCGGATCAGTAAAACGGGTTTTTATCAATAAACCACCCTTATGAGATGTGTTTTTTAAAAGTTTGTTAAGATATTTAAAAAAAATCCTATATGTTGAAACATCTAGATTAAAAATACAGCAATAAAATAACGCTATAATAGCTTGGAGGAAAAGTAGCATCAGAAAAATTTGGATCACTCACGTTGCAACTTCTGATATTTTGTGATAGTTAAAGTCCATTTGCTTAATTTTGCACGTAATTTGTTTAATAATAAATCACAAAAAATGTCTGGTTTCAGACAAAAAATTGAATAGTCAAGAAAATGATGATAATTATTAGCAATGGATTTTGAGATTTCATTATGTGGTCATTTCTAATAATTTAATCTTTTAACTTTTACCCATCTTTAAATCGGGTTTGTTTCCCTGCTTATAATCCTGACATCCATGATAGATGGTAAACTGCCAAAAAAGCGCCAGATAAACAAACGATAGGAAAACTAAGGTTTATATTGTCAGTGCGTTAATTTTTTGTTGTTTCTATTTAAAACATTTCTTACTTTCTGGAGGTGAACTTTTTAAAATTAAAAAATATGCTGTGCGGTAGTGAGGTTTGTGTCGGTGCCTCTCCCTGTTTATAACCCTGACAACCGTCAAAGTGCGTCTAACAGACTAAAGCCGTAAGAATAGACAGACAAACATCGTTGAAAACAACCAAATAGCCATTTTGCTTGGGTGTCGGTACCTCGCCCTGTTTATAACCCTGGCAAGCGCTGAAGATTCTGACTGCAAAAACTCGTCTGACGGTTGGAACATTACATTATTTTAAACAATAGGGAGTCTAAAATTATGGAAAAAAAACCAGATCAAGATTATCAGCGTTTTATATAGTTTATAACTATATAATTACCTACTTGATAAATACTACGTGATTGATTGTGAATGCTTAAAATTTACAGTTCACAACTCACAAATAAATCAATAAATTTATAGTGCGGTGTTTAATCATCCTAGTGTTTTTATCCTCAAACTTTTAGATTGTGCGACGTAGTTCATCATTTCGTCAAATTTCATGGTGGGTTCGTATCGATGCCTTGACCTGCTTATGGACCTGACCACGACTGAAGATTCTAACTGCCAAAACTTGCCTGACAAGCGGATCAGTAAGGATAGGCAAATTAAATAATTGAAAACTACCATGATCTATATTATAAGGTATATAAGGTATCACTTTTGATCATCCTAATATTTTTACTTTTATGTTTCCAACTGTTCGCCGGGTTTGTCATTTCATTACGTTAGGTGCTGCGTTTGTATTGGTTCCAGTCCCTGCTTATATCCCTGACAACAGTTGAAGATAGATCAAAACATCAATGATAGGCTGACCAAATTATTAAAAAAGCACCAAGTTTTAATTATCACTGTTATCGCTACTTTGTAGCTTATACCTAACTATATATCTGCACACTCTGGGATATTATGTTGTTAATAAATCCATAACATTAAAATAAATAAATAATTTATTTTTGATCATCATAGTATTTTAATCTAGATGTTTTTGACTATATGACATGGTTCGCCTATCGACATAATAGACGTGTGTGTATCGGTGCCTCTCCCAGCTTAAAACCCTGACAACAATTAAAAATCAGAAGCTAAATCAGCGATAGGCAGACAATTACGTTTTCGTCAACTCTCATTCCTCAAGGAAAAATCTCATAGATAAATAAATACAAAATAAATCAATTAAATATTCAAGCAATTCTCTTTAGACTGAAAAAAATGTGTTGTTGAACTGTTATTACTCAATTAAAGAATGATACGAGAGATAATTTTTAATCAAACCAGTACAAAATGAAAAGTTCTTGAAAAAATAGTAATAAAATAGAATTTCGTTCGATTTGTCTCCATTGAATAATTCGTTGTTAAAATAGACATCTCGTCGTGAATCGGCCGACAATTAAAAAAGGCAACTCGTCATTTGAGGCGTGAATGAATAAATAAATAGACCTGAATAGACAATGTGATCCGGTAGACGGCAATTACTGGAAATGAGAAGCTCCTGTTGTTTGCTCCTTAGCTCCCCGATCGAAACGAACTTTTTCCAAAATGAATTTGCACCGTAATTAATGCCTTTTATGAATGAATAAAGCTCTAATAACATATTTCGACCCTAACGTATTTTTCGGTGTGATTATAATCAAACAAATTATAGGGGGAGGCCACCAATTTGTTCCAGTGACTTAGTTGATAAACTTTTTCTTAGTACTTGATTGGAAATAACCTGGTACACTATAAATAAACGTATTAGCATTTTTCCTGCGTTACCTTGTGTAAGAAAATAGACGAAAGCTTTTAATAAAATATTTTGCAGGATCAGACTGGCCTTTTTGCATTGGGTTCAGACACCTTACCGAAAATATTTCACCTGACTAGTTGTACTCTAGCCCATAATATCGTCTAATGACGTAAAAATTATTGTATTCTGACAAACTCGAGTATCACAGATAACAAAATTTTTCATTTGTGAAAAAAAGAAAATATTTCACGGTTGGCTGTTAAGTCGGGTAATCACCGCGGCGTCATCAAGATTGCAAAGTCGGCCGCAGAGGATATAACTTTTGAACTTACATTCCGACGATTTATACTGATGGAATAATGCTGTTTAAGAGGAGACATTGTATCCTTTTTTTTAAAGACGCTTTTGGTTGTCGCGCGAAAACCCGTATTTGATGTGATATAACCTGGGATATGAAGGTGAATTGATTGATGATTCATTGTCGATGAAGATTTCAGATGCTATTTCATACTTTTTTTCTTTTATGAGTTACTACATCCCCTGATTTGTACCAGTGGTGTGGAGGCACACTTTGTCGAGGAATTTGATTACATGAACCGGTTGAAAGAGTTGTAACGCCCAAAACACTTTCTCCTGCAGAAGTGCAGCACCTTGGTAAACCCCTGTTTTTCTCAACATCAACCTGTTAGTATTTTGTCTTTCTTCGTCCACTGATACGTTATAATTTCTTTCACACTCAGACAGATATCAGATATTTTATGATCTTCAGTTTGCAGAAAGATTCAGTTCTTGTCAGCAGGGAAACTTCTGTAGCGTCTGGCAAGTTTGTAGTATGGGTTTCTTCGTTTTCATCACTTGTTGCTGTCCTATCTATACTCATCATTACTATCACTTATGTTCTCTTCTAAAAAGTTCTTTGACATGAACCCATAGTATATACCCACTAGGTCACTATATTACACTAGTATACTGCAACACTACTATAGTATACCATCTATACTACTGAAGTATCCTATTCAATGGTCTTGCCATTCAGCTGATGAAGTTCTATTAGTGCATGATATTTGTCGGTTGATTATTTTATTGAATTGAGTACATTTGTCGATTGTCTGGAAGGCTTGAAATATATCGACCAAGGTCCCAGATTTGCATGATTTTGAGACTCCTGACCTTGCGTAGATTTGGTATACCAACAGATTATACCCTCCTGATCATGGGGTATTTCCTTATTCCTACTTTTGGTGTCGAGATTGCTCTGAGTGATCGAGTTTACTGCTCTGATGGTTATATTTTCTTCCTCTCTGCATACATGAGTATAAATATTGTATTGTACCGTCCTGGACTCGTTTGACACCCCATTCCAGCAAGAAAAAATTAGGTTTGTCTGTTGTCAAAATATAAATCATTGGCGAATTAGTTATCGTTATTCAGCTGGTTTCTCGTGATACGAGATTCGCAAATAAGAATGATAAAAAAAAAAGATTTTTTTGTTATACTTTATTAAACAAAATTACATCCTAGTTTTTAAGGCCCTAATTCACGTGTGACATGATGGGGGATTATGTGACCCACCTTTTTTACACAGTATATGGGCATGCACATATTAATTTAGAAGTATTAAGTACAATGGAGAAATGAATGTTTATAGTTTAACAAAAGGGGTGCATTTACATTATTTACAGTTATTCGATTTTTCAAAAGTCACTAGTCACCAAACTTTTCCTTTTCAGACGTCAGTTGTTTCGAGGTGGTGGTGCATGAGGGTCATCTTTTCAGTCTTATGTAGGCGTTGGTGGCAATGTCGCTACGATCGTTATTTTTAGGTCAGTATGAAGTGTTCCTCACATGGGGCACCTGTTATTTACCTCAGAACTCGATTTTGAACTGTCTGAACCCGTTTCACTTGGCACTTGCTCGCTGATGATCTCACAGTCATAGATATTGATCTTATCACCAAAAAGTATACACAACGTTTCAAGTCGAGAGGTGTTTAGACTTTTTGTTGAGAAGAAAGTACAACTGCCTCATTTCTGAGTTGTACGATCTGGACAATATTGTCAAATATAAGTTTTTAGTCAAAGTGTAACCCGAGGTATTTAACTGAGGTTTACAGTTGGATGGCTTCCCCTTGGAGATTAATGACGTTTCTACTCTTCTTTTGTACTTGAAAAATACTAGTTGCAATATTTTAGTTAAGCTTCACATTCAACTTTTCACACCAGTCACTTATT